CTAATGTTTGATCAACAGCTCTAATTTTTTACTAGTACTAAACATTGACACTTGTTTTCCTCCAAGTAACAGGTTTACTGTATATGTTTTCAGTGAACATTTCTGCCAAATACGTTTGATCTTTCTGCTAGAATGATATATCATGTAAACAGTTGCTACATCAGTTTACAACTTTAATAAAACGCAATTGTTATAGCTGCTTTTCTTCAAGACATCTGTAAGTGTGTTCATTCCCATATTATATACAAACTGCTAAAAGGCTACACAAGGATAAAAATTTAATAAAATTAATATTAATTATTTTTTATTGCTTCAAAGATACTGTTAAGTCATATAGTTTCAAAAGACGCTGAGTGTGTAGCAGAGGCTACTAGCATCATTTGGACCCATTGCCATTTCCTGCTATGATGTCACAATTGCTTCTACACTATCTATACTAAGTGTCAGTGCACAATGAAAAATGAAAGGCAAATGACAAAGTGTTATTACAATCATTTGAACTTCACAAAAAGCTTGAAAAAGCTATTATAATAATTTGAACTTGGGGATGGGAGAGAGAAGGAGGGGGCAGTGCAGGGAGGAGAAATGGCCCAAACAATGTATGCACATATGAATGAATAAACAAAAAAATAATTTGAACTTCACAAACAGCTTGAAAAGCACTTAGGAATCTCTTGGGGTGATATGGACCACATTTTTGAGAAAAAACTGGTATATATGTACAAATGGACTTGTATAAAAATGCAAAGAGCCTGTATTAGCCAAGATAATAATGAAGAACAAAGGTGAAGGCATTAAATTATTGGATTTCAAATGTTACTAAAAAGCAACAGCAGTGAAGATTATATGATGTTAATATAAAGGCAGCAACATAGCAAATTCAGGGAAAATAACATTTTTCAAAAATTGCATCAGTTAGCTGGGTGCTGGTGGCTCACGCCTGCAACCCTAGCTACTCAGGAGGCAGAGATCAGGAGGATCTTGGTTTGAAGCCAGTTGGGGCAAATAGTTCTAGAGACCCTACCTCAAAAAACCCTTCACAAAAAAGGGCTGGTGAAGTGGCTCAAGATGTAGGTCCGTAGTTGAAACCCCAGTGCCACAAAACAACAACAAAAACCACAGCATCGATCAATGCAATTCACTGGGGAAAAGGCATATCTTTTGCATAAACAGTGGAGTAACTGGCTATCTGCATAGAAAAAGCTGAACACCTTGATCTCTACCTCACAACATGAATATTAACACAAAAAGGATCACAGTCCTAAATGTGATAGCTACAACTATATAATTTCTGGAGAATGGTATCTTTTCAAGACTTGGATAAAGGGACACCATTAAGAAACTGAAAGACTGACTGGAAGACTTAGCTCAAGTACAGTGTGATTGTCTAGCATGTGTGAGGCCCTGGGTTCAATCTCTAGTACTGGAAGAAAAAAAAAAAGTTAAACACTTGGGAGACTTGGGAAGGTGAGACAGGAGAATTGAGAATTGGAGGTCACCCTGAGGTACACAGCGAGACCCTCCCTTAGAAGAAAAAAATAAGGGGAGAAAAGGGGAAGAGAAAGACAAAAGGTAACTAACAAGTAGAAAATTCTTGTAACTCACATGTCTAACAAAAAACCCTATATCCAGAATATTTAAGAACTCCTGATATTCACAAAAGAAAAGAGACTCAAGAAAAACTGGCAAAAGATTACACAGTACATTACAAAGACATCTACCTGGCCAATAAGTATACCAAAGGCACTTAATATCACTACCTATTAGAGAACAGCAAATTAAAACTACAGTTAATCTGGGTGCCGGAGGCTCATGCCTGTAACCCTAGCTACTCAGTAGGCAGAGATCAGGATGATCATTGTTCAAAGCCACCCTGGGCAAACAGTTTGTGAACCTTGAAAATACCCAACACAAGAAAGGCCTGGCAGAATGACTCAAGTGGTAGAGCCCTAACAAGCAAGAGGCCCTGAGTTCAAATAGCAGTACTGCCAAAAAACCAAAACCAAAAACCAAAACAGTTCATGTTCACTAGAATGGCTGAAATAAAGACTAATGCTAAATGTAGTAAGGATGTAGAGCAACTGGAATGCTCACGCATGCTGGTAAGAATACAAAATATTATAGTCATTTCAGAATAATCTAGTGGCTGAACAATGCCACGCATAGATATATGTCCAAAAGAAATGTGTTCATATGTTAAAAACAAAACAAAAAGATTGGGCTGGCAGAGTGGCTCAAATGGTAAGAGTACCTGCCTAGCACCCCAGTGCCACAAAAAAAAACCCCCAAAAAACCAAAAAAACTAAGAAAGACTTATTCAGGGATGTTTATAGCAGCTTTATTCCTAATACTCCAGAGTGGAGAACGGATATATAAACTGTGGTATATTTGTACAATGGAATACTACACTGTAGTGTAAAAAAATTAATGATACAGTTGGATGAACTACAAAATTACTAAGCTAAGCATAATAAAAATATGCATGAAATAATGATATTTATGGAGCTCAATGTAGGAAAACTTAATTTATGATGGCCAAAGTGATAATCTATAGGTTAGAAGTAGCATTAACTGAAATGGGACAAAGGGAATGTTCTGAGTTGGTCAGTCTACCAAGTAGCTGACGGCACTGCATATACTATTGCACTTGGAAAATGCATTAGGTTTTGAAACAATCTTCCAGATAGTATATAGTTACAGGCTGAGACTAGAACCAAAGGTTCATGTTAGTGGTCCTCATTCTTTCCACTACACCAAGCTACCTGAACAAGGCTTTTCTCTAGAACAAGTATTTTCACTTTGATTTGCTTTGGTTTCTCTGTGACAGTTCTCAACAATATCCAGGGGAATGAGGATATCTGCTTCCAAATACTTATATGGATGATTCCAGGCTGCTTGTAATTGACCACTGGGCTTGTATTCTATGGAGACAGGCTCTTTTGTTTGTTTCTAAGTTTACAGATGGCACCTATAAACATAAGCTTCTCAGGTTCTTGAACACAATTTGAAATACAGTTTGTCACCTGTGTCACCAAGACAAATGGAATTCCTGGTTCAGGAATATTGCCCTCAACACTGTCCCTGTGCCACCAGTGTCAGGCAACTCAATACATGAACAGTCCAGCCTTGTATTAGGGATATAGTAATAAAGGTACAAAAGAGAAAATTTGATGTTTTGGTCAAAAACGATCCTTGGAAATACTGGTACTTTATTATAGCAACAAGGTTGGGGTGAGTTTCACCAAATCTTTTTCAAATTTATAAGGAAAATTTAAAATCACACCAAAGATCTGGTGCTTGCAATAAAGAAAGCAAAGAAAGGCATTAGTGGACAAACAGATTTATTCAAAGAAGCGATGTATCAGCAGAAGAAGCTTTTCCAACAGTTTCTTCAGTTTCTGTTTATTGTTTCTAGATTTTAAATGGGGGCAATAATTTTTTCCCCACTGTTAACTTGACTTTAATTTTCTAATAGCCTATAAGTATGAGAAAGAACAAATGAGAGGAATATTAAAATCAGAAAGATAAGAGGTGTAGATGAGCACTTTCCTGTTGGGCAAATCGGGTTTTTCCATGTTCTTAACCTCTAAAAGTTACTTTTGACTTTATACAGGTAAGAGGTGTTCAAAAGATTAGAACTGATTTAATGCACACACTTTGTCCTTTCTAACAGAAAAAAAAAAGCCAATCTTAAAATCTGAGTTTGAATATTGTCCCTTCTGAGGGATTGTTCATGGGTCAGCACAGAGCCTTCTTTTCATTTCACTCATATCCTTAATCCTCTTACGATTCACGCAGGCTTTGAAAAGCAGAGGTACAAGGCCAGAGTTTTCGTCACTTTATAATCACAAATAATATCTGGAACTGTATTAATAGAAAGCCATCATTTATTAAAAGAAATATCTTATTATTTCCAAAGAACATTATTATCTGGGAGTTATTTGAGTAAAACATTTGAATTCGCCTCTTCCAAAAAAGAATTCTGCATAGGAAGTCTTGACTTCCACTTACAGATGCAAAAAACCAACGACTAGGTGGGAAAAATGACTTATTGAAAGTCTCAGCAAAAGTTCAAGACCACGATTGTGAAGGTCATAGCTTCTAGGTATAGATCAGTACAGTAATATCTTTACATCTTACCACCAGCAGAGCTGGCTAATTCTGTGTGCCTCAGATAGGAATGGCAAATGTATATACAGTGAAATATAATCCTTAACCATGCTCCTCCTCTTTGCATTAGAAAAATTTCCACTAAATTAAATCATGCCTGTCTAAGAAATTGCCCTCCAGCATATATCTGATTGTAAGGTTTAAAAAAAAAAAAAGGTCAGTTACTTACCCAATCATACTTCTCTAAGATACATTATTTCGTTTTTGTTTTTCTGGGTGTTTTTGAACCCAGGGCCTCATGCATACTAAGCAGGTGCTCTACTAATAAGCTACATGCTTGACCAAAATTTTGGTTTGTTTGTTTGTTTTGCAGTGATAGGGATCAAGCCCAGAGCCTTGCACATGCTAGGTAAGAGCTCTACCACTGAGTGACACCCTATCCCCCACCCACTGCCAGTTTGTTTAAGGTCTGAAGCACTAACAGCAAAATACACAAAGCAGTCACAAGTTGTCATTATAATCAAAATCACGAAAAACCAGTTCAGGATTTTAAGATTATTATTTTTAAGATTATTACTATTAGGATATTTGGAAAAAACTGGAGCATGAAAATGACCTCTTAAATTAATTGATTTTTAATTCCTCACAAATTATTTATATTTTTCAATTTTACACCAAAAGTAATATTTCTCTTGTGTTAAGAACAACAGATAACCAGGCCTGTAACTTTCTCCCTGCTCTGAAGGATAAGAATTCAGTTTACTCATCTGTCACAACCATCCTTTTCCCACTATCATCTTCCTCAAAAATGTACATAAATTCAGCTGACCACTTCTTGTAATTTTTCTTTTCTTTTTCTTTTTCTTTTTTTTTTTTTTGTGACACTGCGGTTTAAACTCAGGTCCTTGCACTTGGTAGGTAAGTGCTCTACCACTTGAGCTATACCACCAGCCCTAACTTTTCATTATAAAATTTTACTTCATTGTAGTCTTAAATGGAGTCTCTTCTGCAGGCAAGCAAGGCATGTGTGTCCTTTATTTATGCCTTGATTTCTTTGTTGGTAAACATCGATCTCCATGGTAGGAGGGCTGGTTATTGAAGCCAGTGCCTTGTATCATGCTAGTCAAGTGTTGTACTACTGAACTGCATCCCTAACCCCTTTATAGGATCTCTTTGACTTGACCCCAAAGGTGCCATTAAGTTACCTAAAAGGTATAGTCTACCATGTGTGGGACGAAAACATCAGTGAAGAATCTGGCAGCTATCTTTCTACTTTTTCTTCCGAAGTCCTATGTGTTTCTGAAAACAAACAGCACATATTATGTGGTACAAACAATGAGAAAAGAATCTTAGATATCTAAAGCAAAAATAATTTATAGGGAAAAAAGTTAAGGAATTAATACAATGCTTTATCAGAAAATGGTGTTTATGTTTCCAAGACACTTTGTAATCAGTTCAATGTGGGATAAATTGAGCCTCCAGACCCATCTGCTCTAGAAACCTTTTTCTGATGTTAAAATCCTATTAAATGTCCATTTCCACAATGTTGTTCTCCTTAATGAAGAATGGAACATTTCATAATTATCTAACCTACAAATCTTAAGCAGAATAGTATTTTATCATCACCAAAGATAAGATGAAAGAGTTGTTATAAGAATAACAGCTAACTCCTCAAGTACTTACAAAGCTACTAAGGAACTAAATACTATATGTAGATAGTAAGAAGCTAGCCCATAGGTATCTAAGGGCATAGAATGTACCCTGTTCTTAAATCAGTAAGTTAATAAAAAAATATATGTACTTGAAGGAATGTGTTTCTAGGTAAAGGAGTAAAACAGACATTTACTACATGATAAAGAAACTATGGAGGCTGGCAGAGTGGCTCAAGTGGCAAGCATGAGGCCCTGAGTTCCAATACCAGTAAAAGAAAGAAATTATGAGGAAAATCTTAGCAAAAATGATACAATACCTTACTCATCTCTTTTGGTTTCACCAGAATAACATTGCTAAATTAACATATAGATATCTAAAACATAAAATGTAGACTCAAAGGCTTATATAAAATATTTTGAATTAGAAAACTGTGGTAACTATAAAAGTATTTTCTGAACAGTACTAAATTTTATTTCTGTACCTCTGAAAACAATTATAAGACATGGGATCATTCCACTCCCAGGTTAGACAGAGGTAGAGTTGTCACTAAATTTGAAGGATGACTATAAAATAGGTCATAGGGACAATTAAAAAGACAATACATTAAGTCATATAAAATACTAGAAACCTGATAAAGGAGACCTCAATGGTGACAATCTTCAAACAACAAGCAATTAAACTCCACGATAAGCATCTTTCTAATATATAGTGGACTCTCATGCATAGGTCATAATGAGAGAAGCACTTCCTGGTTTAGGAGTAATTACAAAAATTTATTACACTCGTTTTAATAGAAGAATCTAAATTAGAATTTCTTTTCATAAAGAACTCCAATCATTTAGCCTCAGTAGAAAAGTAATTCCGTTAACAACCGTGATCCAATTAGATAAAGTAGATGGAAGTTCCACAACAAAACATTATTCACTCAAAAAATGTGTTGGACAACATATACTCCTTATTCAAAAGGGTTCCAAACCATTTGAGAGGTAGCTGGAGACAGAATAATTCATAAAAGTCCAATTCCTCATCTATAAGACGTCTTTAGTTCAAAGCTAGAGAAAGCAGCACACACGTTTCATTGTCCTGGCTGTTTCTGGAGGGAAAAGAGGCCTAGAAAAAATAATAATAGAGCTTAGCCACCAAAAAAATCCTTTCCCTACCCAAAAGGTTGGTACTTTCAGGCAGAGGATTGAGGCCATAGAGTAATATCCTAGAAATTCCTAGGATGTATCTCTAATGGCAATGTACATAAGTCAAGGGTAAAGATCTAACTTGTTACTCAAAAATCAATTTAAATACTCCTTTCAGAGTTAAACCAATATATACAACAATTCACTGAAGTTTCTCCTTTTTCATGAGACAACTCTCCATAAAGTTAAAATTATTACATGTTAAATATGGATTATTGCCTCAGACTATATAGTTTTGAATATGCCAGCCTTAAAAACACATGGTAATTGTGTAGGCAGCATGGGTTTCAGGTAATGACTAGACAGGAAAACATTAGTAACACTGTAGTCTAGGAATGATTTAAAAGCCCAATATGGCTTACTCTTACAATGTTGAGTAAAATACTTCAGATTAAAATACATAACATTCCTCAGATTGTAAATGGTAATTCTTAGTACTGTCAGGTTTAGACTACCAAAAATAGTTAAGTTACCTATCTTAATATCCCATTTGATGCAGGGAAACAAAGATAGACATTGCCCATTTCTGTGTTCATTTCCAGGGGACAACCATGTTTTCCAAGTCAAAGCAAGGAAACAAGATTATATCTTCTAAACAAATAGTTTCCATTAAAAATTAAGGGGTAGCTCTAGATGTGGATAGCTCAATGTGATACAGGTATAATTCAATGACCAAAAAAGCCAGAAAGCTAAGAAAATACACAAAACCCATTAGCTCTGAAACTTAAAAATACATTAAGAGACAGAGTAACAAATCAGTTTTGTTGTGATGGTTTCCATTTTCTTTCACAAGTTTAAGCCTCAATCAAATCGGCAGTCTCCAGGGATTCTGAAATTGCCACAGATTAAAACCCTCTCCTCTCTGACTCAACTGTTTGACTAATGCTGAGTATTTAATAATTCTACTTGTGAGAGACTTTTTTGACAAAATCCGGCTGCATGCTGTCTTCAGATGTTCCCCAGCTGTACTATTAATGCAAGGCATCACTATCCTTACTTTATCACTCATCTTAGAGATGAGACAATATATCATTACAAACAGTTCAATTATTTAGTAGGCTTCGCTGTTACCTACAAAGGCAAAGGTTTCCTTCTAAGTACTAATGATACATATTCATAGGCTGATTCTAAGGATAGGAAATTAATAACTGTTATAGATAGACCAGAGTTAAGTTAATGAATTTCTAAACTTTATGCTTTCAATAATAAAACTATCCAAGCTATAGCATTTGGACTCTTTCTGCTTCCACAGATCAGGCACTTTGATATTCCACAGGCTGAGTAAATTGAATCCATATATTGTATTTACGTTCTGTGTCAAGGTTGCGTCTCTACATTTCAGTGATCAAAGGCACGACAGTCATCAACCCCGTAGCCTTCAATACTATGTTCATTATATTTAATCAAGTGCCAACTCCACCAAATCATTCACCAAACTTAATGTTTAAATGCATGGCACTGTTTAGTAATGAATATAGGCACAGTGCTATATTAAAACACAGACAATTCCAAAAGGAAAAAATAGAGGCAGGAAAATGAATATCATTTTCTATACTGTTCAAGAAAATAAATTTTAAGTGCACAGAAATGCCAAATGTACATTGGGAGGAGGGTTTCTACCTGAGGCAGCATCAATCACTGTGGAAACTCCCCTTCGATCAGAGACTGGACGGGATGACCCTGGCATGCTGACTGGGTCAGAGCGGACTGGCTGGATCCTGCAATGCAATTTAATTTAATTCACATATGTTACTGGCATGAACACTGTCACTTACTACAACAGACCTTAAATCAGGAATGTTGGAATAACCCGATGCATTAAAGAACCATTCATTCTAAAGCCAAACAAGAAAGGAGCTGGAGTCCCTAATCCTTACACAGAGACAAAGTACATTCTCTCCACTCCAGACCCCTTCTATGTTGTTCAACAGATTTTTAAGAAATGGATCGAAAAATGGACATTAACTTAAAGTCACAACAAAATGCTTTATGATGAAACCCTGGGCATTTGCAAGGGACACACAATGAGTTCTGAGATGCTTCTGATTCATGAACAGAATCAGAAGTAGTAATGAGTTCAGTAAAAGACAGCAAAGTATGATTTAAGATTTAGGGAACTCCCAAACTTTTAATAAAAGTTACTTTATATAGGATAACAAGCACAGGAAAACAAAGATGCGCTGTGGCTGCAGGGCTTAGAAAGGATCATACTAAGTAACCTCCATGAAATTAGTAGTTAGCATATAAAAATCAATTAGGACCTAAGCAAGACTACAATTTACTACATAAAATATCAGTGGTTTAAGAATGATGAAGGTACAAATGCCAAAGGTCTCTTTCTAGATGTATCAGAATAAATACTATTAACATAAAAATATCTGTACTACTAAGGTCTAGGCATCCTAGTCAGGCAACTTAGAGAAAGAAGATCTTGTTAAGACAATAGATGCGTCCATTTGTAGTAATCCATACAGCAAGTATGTACTGCATTACTTAAGGAAAAAGGAGAAACAAAACATGAAATACAAGGCCTGTATGTAGCTATCTGACATAGTACATGAACATTCATAAATTGAAGTTAAAAAAACTAAGGTTTGGAATGAGAAAACATATAATAAAAACACAGAATGAAAAGATGGAAGAATATAGTAAAGTACATAATTATGAAGTAGTCAATGACAGACCACCTATATTATGGTGGTCAGGTAAGATTACATTGCCTAGTGATGTTATTGCATCTTAGTTTGTGTAAGTGTACAATGTAATGTTCACACAATGACAAAACTGCCTGCCAACCAATTCTTGCTAAGTGACACATGAATGTATATACATGGTGCACATGAGATACAGATGATCTTATGGAAACAGGAATTGGGTGTGAATATACTATAGTTGGCCCTCCATTTTCATGACTTCATCTGTGGATTCGAGCAGACATGAATGAAAACATATGGGGGGAAACCCTCCATCTTTACTGAACACAGGCAGACATTTTTCCTTGACACTATGCCTAAACAATACTGCTTAACAAGTACTCACATAGAATTTATATTATATTAGGTATTTCAAGTAATAATGACTTAAAGAGGGGATTGCCTAAGTTATATGCAAATACCATGCCACAATAAAAAGATAAACATCCTTGTTTTCTGGTATCTTCAGAAATCCTGAAACCAATTCCACGTGGATACCAAGGGACAGCTGTAAAAGGATATGTAAAGATGAACAGGAGCATGAAGGTTTTAGCTGGGGGTTTGGTTCAAGTGGTAGAGTATCCTTTAAGTACAGAACTAGATTCTTTGATTTGCAAGTTAGCGATAAATGCAAGGAGTCTTGAAGTGCATGACTGGCTGAAGCACAGAGTTCACAAATATTATTGGTAGGGAAACAGATACCAGTAGTGTGAAATGTCACTTATCAATTTCAAACAAAGAATAGTTATGAAAAGTACAGTTTGAATGAAATGGAAAATATCCATATACAAATATTGGGCACAACTATGGAATACCAACCAATATTGCATTTCAGTTGATTTTTGTAGGGCAGTCATGGCAATTACATCATGTCTTGGCAGTGGTAAATAGCTCTGAGATGGTTGAACCTAAGTAAATTTGGGCCAGTAAGTAGGGAGATACGAGTAAAGGTTCTGGAAAAGAAGTTCTGTAGTTCTTGAGAGCATCAAGAGGCTAGTCTATATTTAACAGACCATATTTTGGTCAAATCATCCTAAGTAAAACTGCTTTCTGGTCTAACAAATTCCAATTGTTAACTCAAATTATATTGAGGTTTCAGAATAACCCAGAAGAGGGGGTGAGGTGTGAATATGTCTATGAATTAATGTGTTGAAGTGATATTTTTTCATAATAAAAAAGGAAAAAATAGGAATAAACTTGTTGGAAAGATAGAAATGTTTTGGAGTTAGACAGCGAGAACAGATGCACAGCACTGTACATACCAAAAACCAGTGTATTGTATTGTACATTTAAGATTGGGGGATTTTTAACAGGTGTATTGCACACATGTAATCCCTGCATTTCAGAGGCCGGGCTGAGCAATATAAAGAGACTTTGTATCTCAGGAAAAAAAGTGTATTTTATGTTATGTGAATTATATATAAATCAAAATGAAATAAATTATTGCTAATTTCTGAGATCTTAAGTGGTAAAGGAACATTTGTATATTCAGCTTCTCTTACATTATGTGTTTTAAAGGTCTATTCAAATATATTTCATTGAACATTTTTTACACTGGAAATCTCTGCTCTGAGTAAGGAGTGGCCATGGCATTGACATATCTGATACCTTTTGGGATTATTCCTCTTTTTCCCAGTGAGCAGAGGATGTACATAGGTAGACCATCATTACACTACATACTCCCCGCGGTATCTTATGGGGCACAGGATACAGTAATAGAAAAATTTAGACAAAGACTTCACAATTTAAAGGAAAAAGGACAATGACCTGCCATAGTGCCATATTGCACAGGCTGGAAGGAACATAGGTATGCAAGAACTGAGAAGAGCGATCCTAAACAACAATGAAGAGAGTTCAAATAATTGGATTTCTAGTGGGTTCCTGGGTGGAAAGTAGTGAAAAATGGATACTAAGAATAATGTGGTTCAAATCTAAATTTTGCATTAAAATTGTTGGGGGGATAAGGTCATTCTTTGTTTTTGAGACAATCTTCTTCTGTACCCCAGACCAGCCTTGAACTCAAGATCCTCGTAAATGCTGGGACTACAGGCTTGAGGTTTGGTTTGGTCTATTTTGTTTGCAGATCCAATTAAGGACCTTAGGCATGTTAGACAAGACTTCACCAGAGCTACACCCTCAGACCTAGATTTTTTTTGTTTGCACTGGGGTTTGAATTCAAGGTTTCATGCTTGTTAGGCAGGTGCTCTACAGCTTGTATCAATCCTCTAGCCCTTTTTCTCTGGTTATTTTTGAGACAGAGTATTGCCCCCCCTCTCCCCAGGAGCAGCCTGAACTTTGCTACTTCTATTTTAAACCTCTTGCATTAGATGGGATGACTGGAGTGAACCACCATGCTCAGCTTCCAGCTTTTCGATTAGAATGGGGTCTCCCAAACCACAAACTTTGTGTTCAGGGCTAGCCTCCAACTGGCAAATACATGTTAGACTGCAAAAGTAAAAAATATCTAAATTGCATTTAAAACTAAGCAGTGTGAGGGCACATCTCTAGAGTCCTAGCACTTGGGAAACAAAAGCAGAAGAATTCAGAGTTTTAGGTCCCCTGGGGGATATATGGTGAGTTCAAGGCCAACTTGTGCCAAATAGCTAATTATAACCTAAAACAACAAAAAATTAGGGCTAAAAATATGGTTCAAGTGATACAGCACCTGCCAAGCAAGTACCTGAGTTCAAACCCCCAGTACCACAAAAACTTAATTTTGTACACTTCTATTATGATTATGATATGTAAAGACTACCAGAATATATATTGTGAAGTTATAGTAACATTTTATTCATCCTAAAACTTTTTATAATCCAAAAGACAATGCAGGAGTAGATAAAAATCACAGATGAAATTTAATTGAAAGGTGATAACTTCAAAAAGATTAGGAACAGAAGACTTAATCAGACTTCAAGTATTTAGAAATATGAGCAAAGCAAAATCAGTTGGGGTGGCTTGTAAAAGTCTACTGAGTATTAGATTCAGAGAAAATACATTCTGAAACACAAATGTTTATTGGATGTAATCAGACCCTACACGATGATAGTAATCACACAAAAGAGGACATAAACTCCAAAGGAAAAATGTACATCGTACAGAGGATGCTCATCTCAAATGAACATACTAATTATATCATTCAAATAACCCTTTAGTTTTTACTTCCTACCTGAGACTATTGAGATCAAGATCATCTGTATCAAAATCCAAAAGAGGCTGTGGAGTGTCACTGGGACCATGAGACTGTAACACAGATGAACTCGATGATATGACTGTGGTTTGGCCTGAGGGGTGGATGGTTTTGAACTGGAACTGTGGACCCATCCACAGACGCCTGTGAGGTCCAGTATGTGTTACAATTTCAACCTGGAAAAGAGTTGGACTCATGACTGAAATGTATTTAAATGGACCTTTCACAATTCCTGCATCCCTTATTTTAACACCCTTTCTCCAAGAAGCCCATCTTAATGAAAGCGCTAGAGCACGCAAATGTGGTCATAATCACGTTCACCCTGCTGATGCTCACTGACATTAAAAGGTTGTGTAATATACACACACAGGCACATACACAGTGTACACATCACACATACAACATTCAAATCACATGAAAGCAAAAGGCTCTTGGACCATCCAAGGAAAAGCAAAGGTCTGAGATAATGTTTAACACCCAAAGACACTTTCCTGCAATATTATAATATTTACACTGCTTTCAAAATCCCAAGTGAAGAAATTGCCATGTATTCTCTCTCAAACTGTGTTTTCTTCAAAAAGGTATTACGTGAGAATGTTTTCTCAATATCAGAAACACTGACATAGGAGATTTACATACATGAAACAAAAATTCTTTGTAAGTTTCATGCTCTATGGAAGGGGTAGAAGATGTGGCTGATATCATTATTAAACACTGAAGATAAGGCAAATAGAAGATGTTTCAGAAAAAAAATGAAACTATTTTGTGATATTACAAATGATTATGCTTTTAAGAGATTAAATAAGCAAATCACTGCTATATCTGCATCTGTGCAAACACTTTAGACCTGGCTTGCCATGTGCCTTGAGTCTTTGTCCGGATTCTTTTAATATTTAATCACATTTCTCTGATTATGGTGATTAATTCTCAAAAAAAGTGAAAAGGTTCACAGAGTGGGGCTCTGTCTGTGAGTACAAGAGGGCAAAAGCATCATGGCCTTGGAACAATATTAACATTCCCACTTACCACAGGGGTAAAAAACTCAGATTGAGGACAGTGATTTCTGATTCAAGGAGCTGTATTCAACAATGTAAATTAGGCCACAGATAAAGCATTCTGTGTATTTTAAGCTCAAAACCATCAGTGTCACAAAGCCGAGAGGTAAACAGATGCCTGTGCAATTTCACTGAGGCGATGGCCAGATGTTCCTATATTTGCTCTCCTGTTGTGTGCAGGACAAACATATTGTATATATTTTCACACTGACAGCACACATTACCTCTTCTTCTAATTGAAAAGCTGAAGTGAAGGACAGTGGTTTCTTTGCCAGCATCCTTGGACAACATTTTGATTTTGGAAAAAGTACATGTATGTTGAGTTTCCTTTATCTCGATATCCATCAAGAAAGGATGGACCTCCTTCAAACTTCCCATGAGTATTGTTCGTGTGATTTAAAAAAAAAAAAAAGTATGTCAGTAGAAACTGCTTGAGTCTCTAATTTCCAGGTTCACTTTAGTTTTTCAGGCTATACTCCCTGAGAGCACGATGGAACTAGAAAGGGTCTCACTCTGTCTGAGGCACCTGTCTGATGAAAAGCTGCCAGATCGGTAATCTGAGACAGGTCATTAACTTCATCAAATGATGTCAGACTTGAGGGAGACATAACAGCATTTGTAAGGAAGTCATTTGTAATCTCTTCATTGTGAACTCAGCCCAAGTATCTTTTATTTCAAAGCTCTAGAGTTGAAGACAACTTCACCTGGCAAGGTGAGGAATGGTCAGTTAAAGCTGTTAAAGAACTCATTTTGAGATCACGAAAAGCAGCACTGCCAGTGCTTAGCCAGGACAGGAAACCCAGTCATATGCCATCAGAACTGTGCCTAAAACAATGCTGAACTTCCAATAAAAGTATGAGGCCATGGTCAGGAAATGTGGGCTCCACAAAACAAGTCCCACAGATGGTTGAGTGGAATTGTGGTTTTAAAAAAAAGTAAACTCTTATTTTAAACCTGATGGAAATATACTCAGTATGTCTAAATTCTAAGGCTTTATTCTTGATGTTTGAAAGATAAGCACATTTTATGCCCTGTGTATTAGAGCTAACATTTTATATATATGCGTGTGTGTTTGAATGAAACATAAATGTATATATAAAATATGTGTTTATACCCACAGTAATTTCTCTGAGAAATTTTTAATGTGGAAATACTATTTGATTAATTCTTGATGATTCAACCAAGAACCACCAATACTTCCCATTTTCCTTTAAAGAAAACAATAAACAGATAGTAGATTTTTGTTTTTCTTTATCCCCAAATATATTAGTTTTACCTGGGACAGCCATTCTTCATCTTCCTGTCCACTGTGGTCGGAGGCTAAACTGTCATAAGACCCATGTCGAGTAATAGGTCCAGGACTTCCAGGGGGAACCACTATAGGATAAAGAAAACAGATTTAATCACATTAAGTTACATGTGATTAAGAGGAGAGGAGGTGGATATCAACACAATCAGCTCAAATACTGTGGTAATTTATAGGATAAAATATGAAATCTAAGATACAGAAGCAATTCACAGAATTAATGCACAAGCAAGACTGAAGTTCTGAGAAATAAGCAGTCTCTACATTTTAAAGTCAAAGTGGTGGCACATTCCTGTAAAACCAGCACTTGGGAGGCAAAGGCAGGAAGATCAAAAGTTCAAGGCCGGTGGGGCTATACAGTAAGATTTGCTCTAAAAAAATCTGCAGGAATTTAGTAACATCTTATCACTGTAAGAGAAATAACCAACTAACTTTATGGTATCACAAAAGTACATTGAGACTCTGGAGTTAGTAGGTATAGGTAAGAACTTTCTCAATGAAACCCCAGCAGCACAGCAACTAAGAGATAGCATAGATAAATGGGACCTCCTAAAGCTAAAAAGTTTCTGTTCATTGAAAGAAATGGTCTCTAAACTGAAGAGAACACCCACAGAGTGGGAGAAAATATTTGCCAGCTACACATCAGACAAAGGACTGATAACCAGAATATATAGGGAACTTAAAAAACTAAATTCTCCCAAAACTAATGGAACCAGTAAAGAAATGGGCAAGTAAACTAAACAGAACTTTCTCAAAGGAAGAAATTCAAATGGCCAAAAAGCATATGAAAAAATGCTCACCATCTCTAGGAATAAAGGAAATGCAAATTAAAACCACACTAAGAGTCCACCTCACCCCTGTTAGAATAGCCATCATCAGCAACACCACCAACAGTTGTTGGCCAGGATGCGGGGAAAAAGGAACCCTCTTACACTGTTGGTGGGAATGTAAACTAGTACAACCACTCTGGAAAAAAATTTGGAGGCTACTTAAAAAGCTAAACATTGATCTACCATTTGATCCAGCAATACCACTCTTGGGGATATACCCAAAAGACTGTGACACAGGTTACTCCAGAGGCACCTGCACACCCATGTTTATTGCCGCACTATTCACAATAGCCAAGTTATGGAAACAGCCAAGATGCCCCACCACTGACGAATGGATCAAGAAAATGTGGTATCTATACACAATGGAATTTTATGAAGCCATGAAGAAGAACGAAATGTTAGCATTCGCTGGTAAATGGATGGAATTGGAGAACATCATTCTGAGTGAGGTTAGCCTGGTCCAAAAGACCAAAAATCGTATGTTCTCCCTCATATGTGGACATTAGATCAAGGGCAAACACAACAAGGGGATTGGACTTTGAGCACATGATAAAAGCGAGAGCACACAAGGGAGGGGTGAGGATAGGTAAGACACCTAAAAAATTAGCTAGCATTTGTTGCCCTTAACGCAGAGAAACTAAAGCAGATACCTTAAAAGCAACTGAGGCCAATAGAAGGGGACCAGGAACTAGAGAAAAGGTTAGATCAAAAAGAATTAACCTAGAACGTAACACACACGCACAGGAAATCAATGTGAGTCAATGCCCTGTATAGCTATCCTTATCTCAACCAGCAAAAACACTTGTTCCTTCCTATTATGGCTTATACTCTCTCTTCAACAAAATTCGAGATAAGGGCAAAATAGTTTCTGCTGGGTATTGAGAGGGTGGGGGGGAAAGGGAGGGGGCGGAGTGGGTGGTAAGGGAGGGGGTGGGGGCAGGGGGGAGAAATGACCCAAGCCTTGTATGCACATATGAATAATAAAATAATAAAAAAAAAAGGAAAAAACAAAACAAAACAAAAGTATACTGAGGAGCAGTAAGAAATTTACTCACTGGGGGACTACATTAACTACTGGAGCTTGAAGTCAGGGACTACTGCTAGCTAAGCAGTACTCTACCATTTGAGCCATACCGCCAGCCCTTTGAGCTTTAGTTTATCTTTCAGGTAGACTCACACTTTTGCCAGGAGATGACTTCAGACCACAATGCTTCTACCTCCACCTCCCACCTAACTAGGATTATGTAAAGCTGTATGCCACCAGATTCAGCTTGTTTTTTTTGAGACAGAGTCTCACTAACTTTTGCCTGGGCTGGCCTCAAACCATCCTCCCATCTCCACCTCAAAAGGAGCATGCACCACCATGCCCGTCCCTGACATTACCATTGTTAAAAAGAGCCTTTCCAGTAGTTTCATCTAAATAGTAGGCATAAAAATGCAGATTTTGTTGGAAAACACATTCAGTTGATTTGTTTGACATACTTGAATTATAGTCTACTATCTCATACATAGAAAACTTTGCTTACTGGAAATAAAATGACTCAACAAACACTTATTGAATCCTTAAAATAAGCCAAATATTATGCCACCACAATCTTAGCTGCTTCTTTGGGAGGTACACTCACACACCCACCCTCCCTCCCTCCCTTCCTTTCTATCTACCTACCTACCTCCTACCTACCTACCAACCAACCTCGCCTTAAATACTACCATTATTTTCTAATTTTAGAGTAGTTTTAGGTTCACAGTAAATAGAACATAAGGTACAATCCCCCTCCTTCACATCACCCAAGTACACTCAGAGAAATCAAGCAATGAAGTAATGGGGGAATAGAGAAAAAGAAAAAGGCCTGGGGTGCAGGTGGGAGAATAGGAAGAAAAGTAGGAGATGAGCATTAGTGAGATGTGATAAAATAGACAGGAATGGGAAAGAGAAAACAATATCCTCATTTCCACAACTGAGATATTTGTGTATACATCTATATCCACAATTTCTTGAGGCTAGATTCCTAAAAATGAAATCAGAGGATGTGAACATTTTGTAAATTTCTTAATACATATTCCCCCAAAGAGCTATACACTTCCATGAGCAGTCAAGAATGCCAGCCTTACTCCACTCTTGCCAGAACAAGGTATTTAGAAGAACTAAATCTTAGTGCAACACATACAAATGAAGTAGACAAAGTATAACCTAGGGCAAAATGTTAAAAGACATGTTCACAAAAAGATTATCCTTACTTGCTGCCAGAAGAGAAACTGGACATAAGTCAGTCAATTACTGAACAGAGGTATATAGAGTGTTGAAGTATAAAATTTGTAGTAGTTAAAAGTATTAGCTGCTAGTTATTCAAAGTCACAGTTCTGTAGCTGAGAGGCATGCTGATATTTCGCACAAAACACAAATGGTCACAAAGAAATATTGCTAAATTTTTGTGATGGTGAATGGTAACAGAAAGAAAAGAATACCATAATAATTATCAATTATTATTTAAGTATTTGTTTGGCAAATAATTCTGGCATACATTGCGAAGATGATAACTGATGTCTTCAAAAGGCTGAGTTGTCCCCTAATCATTCATCACCTTTATAACATGTCTGATATAACAGTCTTCATATAGACAGAACAAGAGGATCCCTGAAATACTCAGAGATAACTAAATAACAGGTCAAACAAATAGTAAAAAAGTTGAAGATGGAACAATGCTTTGGAAACAGATGAAGGTGGAGAACACTGAAGAAGTGAGAGGGGATGGAGGTGTGGCTCAAACCCCAGTACCACCACAAAAAAAAAAACCAAACAAAAAAAAAAAACCTCATAAAAGCTGATTGAGTGGCTCAAGTGGTTAGAGCTTCTGCCTTGTACAAGTGAAGTCCTGAGTTCAAACCCCAGGACATAAAATGTCAGGCATCAATGGCTTACTCCTGTAATCCTACCTACTCAGGAGGCAGAGATCAGGAGAAGCCAACCTGGGCAAATAGTTCTCAAGACCCTACCTTGAAAAGAAAAAAAAAAAAAAAAAAGAAGTGAGAGAAAAAGTCATGCAGATTTTCTGTAGGCAGAGTATTAAAAGTTAAGATTAAGCACAATGATTTAGAGGTGGAATACAAATGAAATATTTTACTAAGAGTCAGCAGGCCACTGTAATTGGCTAGAGTGAGAGCTAGGTGGTGAGCAGAAGATGAGGGTGAGGAGGGATAACAAAGCTACAGTAATGTGATGGAGCAGTATTTAAGGAGAAGTGAGAACTTCCCTTGTGTAAGTAAACAGAACGTAATGTGAATTTTTCCAACAGTGTGCTGTGCATTGTATGTGCTGAGAATAGACTGATCACTTGGCACAGACTAAGCACACAGTAATAAGCAGATGACTGAAGTTTTGAATTGAAGCAATGGAACCCCAATGGCTGGATACCTATGTATCCATCATCAAAAATGGGGATAGTCAGAAGCTGGTAGCTTACGCCTGTAATCCTAGCTACTCAGGAGGCAGAGATCAGGAAAATTGCAGTTTGAAGCCAGCCCAAGCAAATAAGTGTAGAGACCGTATCTCAAAAATGCCCTTCACAAAAAGGGCTGGTAGAGTGGCTCAAAGCATAGGCCCTGAGTTCAAGTCCTAGTACCACACACACACACACACACACACACACACACACACAATTGGGATGATATGATGCTCGGTATTAGCTTAAAGAAAACCCAAGGGACAGAGGTGGGGAGTAGGATTACAGATGGAAGAAAATTAGCCAAGAGTCGATCATTGTTGGAACTGGCTGATAGGTATATGGAAGTTTATTACACTATTGTTATCTAGCTTTGTGTATGTTTGGAACTCCCCACAGAAAAAAGAGGAGAGGAAGTGGAAGGGTGTGGGGGAGGATCCTCTCTATCCTCCTCTGTTTTAAAGGAAGCAGTTAATATTCCAAATATACATCTAGGAACTAGCACCATAAATCTGAATCTCAAGCTCCTGAATAGAGATGGAAGAAGAATCTCCATTCCTTTTGTTCATTACTTTTCTCAGTAAGGATGCTGTGGCACCATCAGAAGATGGAAAATATACAAACATATTTAGAGGGAAAATATTTTTCAACACCAAATAAATATACTTCTTTCTCTTATATATTTATTAAATTTAAAAATTCCTCCAATCCAAGTAGGCAGAACATTATATTTACTGCCTTGGAAAAAGAATCACATAACAGGTAATAGGGAAAAAAAATAATTAAAGCAAGCACAAGGCC